CCACAGCAGCCAGAGCTGAGCTGATCTGAAGCAAGGAGCCAAGAGCTTCTTCCAGATCTCCCATGAGGGTAGCAGGGGCCCAAGCACTTGGGTCATCCTCCACTGCTTTTCCAGGCCATAGGCAGAGAGCTAGATCAGAAGTTGAGCAGCCAAGACACTAAGCAGCGCCCATATAGGATGCCAGCTCTACAGGTGGAGGCTTAACCTACTACACAATAGCACCTGCCCCCACAAAGTTTTTGAAGACCTCCTCATATTTACACTTTGGACTGTTCAACGTCTGTCACCTCTCTCAGTGATTTCAAACTCAGTCGTCTTAGGGATCGTCCATGATTGGCTTCTGTGTTATTCAGCTCCTTTTATACTCAACCTGCTTCAGAGAAACTCAACTGAACAATGTTAGGCAACCAAGAACATTTGGAACTGACAAATATATGAACATAAAGGAAATTAGCAGCAAAATGCCTTAATTTTCTAAACAATGGTGCATATTCCCTTGATTCAGAATGTTTATAAATATTCTATAAGAGCTGCCAGTGCTTTGTCTAAACACTAAATTGAAGTGGATGGTTCACAATTAGGAAATGTTTGTGTCCATTGTCATCCAAGAGTTCATTTGTACTTGGTTTTTTCTGTTCCTGTGCTGTGTAGATGTAAGTGCTCATTCAGATATTGTTTATCTGCTTTTTTGAGGGGCAGAGACAGGGCCTGAGAAAACTCTCATCCACTGGTTCATTCCCCCCAAAGCTGCAGTGTCTGTGGCTGGTCCAAGACAGATCTAGGACTTGGAACTCAATGCAGATTTATTTCCCACATGTGTGGCAGCAACCCAGTTACTTTGCCCATCCCTGCTACATTCCATTGTCTGCATTAGCAGGAAGCTGCAGTCAATAATCAGAGCCAGGAATCAAACCTCAGTACTCCACAGTGGGGGAGATGGACATCTTCACCGCCAAGCTATGGGCCAAATCCTGTTTGTCCTATACAATCATTCAATATGTAACTCCTCACCTTGTCTTTGGTGGGTTTCACATTTTGATAAACAGTATCTTAGCTGCAAACACATAGTCATGAAATCAACACCTATAAATATAGCATTACTATGTTCTGCATTTGTCAATGATTGGAAATAAGGCACTTTGAAGTTAACATTATTCTCCCAAGATGGGTTCCTGTTTTCAGTTCCTAAGCCCTTGCTTGGGTTGGTATTTTATGGATTGGAGATTTATGGGCATTTTAAATAGATTTGTTTTTAATTTTAATAGATTTATTTATTTACTTAGGAAGGCAGAGTGACAAAGAGAGGAAGAGACAAAGAGCAATTGATCTTCCATCCATTGGTTCACCCCCAAAATGGCCACAGTGGTTGGGGATGGACCAAGCCAGAGCCAGGAGCCAGGAGCTTCTTAAGTATCCAAGTTTCTGGGCCATCTTCTGCTACTTCTCCAGGTGCCTTAGCTGGCTCAGAAATGGAGCAGCTGGAACTCAGAGTCTCACATGTGGGATGCTGGTGTCACAGGCAGCAGCTTAACCCACTGTGCTACAATGTCAGTCCCACTTATCTATATTTTAATCTTTTAAATGAGTCTTCTTCTAAATTGTGTCTTTATTGAATTATTTTGATGTATTGTAAGACTATTAATTATTACATATTTATTTAGCACCTTATGATTAGTTACTTAGGAACAGCTGAAAGAAAGCCAAGGAATAATTTTTAAAAGTTCGTAGGAAATAGAATTGAAAGAAAAGATCAAAATAGGTATTTCTTTGTTTTTTTGAAGGACCCCATACATGTAAACATATCTGCATTTAACCTTGTGATGCAGTAAATAGTTATGTAAACATGATGAGTTACTCTTAAAAGCAGCACTATAAAAGGAAAGCAGAATTTTCACTGAGTTCAGAATTCTACCCAAGAACCAAGCTTTTATGATTTGGATCTTTGCACTGACACTTTTCTTTTGGGACTAGTCAGTCTAATTATTGCAAATACTCTGCTAGTCCTGCACATAAGGAAACCATGCTTCCAATAGTCCGTCTTGCAAGCTCTCTTACAGAACTCACAGTATGGGCTCCCTTGCTGTGGGGCATGAGTAGAGAGTGAGGGTCCATTTCCCATTCCTGCCCAGTGAGCATAGAGGGCTGAGGCTCTCTCCTCGGGACTGTTGGATGACGTGCAGCCCTGCCTGCTCTAACACACATGATTCTGGAAGGAGAACACACAGGTACAGTCTTCTGTGTGCTGAGACTAGTAGTCTTTTGATTTATTTGTATTCACTTGAAATGCAGAGAGATGAGACAAACAGGGAAAGATTGCTGGATCACTGCCCAAATGCCCACAACAAATGTTCCCAGCAATTTCTTTTTTCTGCTTACCAAGGTAGTACCCATTTCACTCCATAATGCATTTTCTTTGGATTTTTAATGAGTGTTGTCAGCTCATTAAGATTGAAAAATATGCATTTGGCCACAGTGATATCAGTGACATACAGAATAGGAAGCCAAGGTCTTCATTTCCCACATGATGGCAAGACTTAATATACAGGGACAAAATGCCTGTGTCTGGCCTCTAACAAACCAGCTAAGAGACTGCATCACCCTAGGTGTGCACAAAACCAGCAAGAGCTGCGTCCAAGTTTGTAAGAGAGCTCGCTGCATGTGTACAACCAGGCCCTCCCTGCCCCAGAGGCAGTATGGCAGAGAGAAAATCCTCAACTCCTAACATCTCTCGTGGAAGAGAAAGAGCAGGTGGAGTGTTCAAAGTCCTGTCTTCTCAGAAAGGCCTGAGGAAGGAGTTGATACCTGGCCTGACTTGGGCACTTTTGGTAATGACAGTGCTACATGGGAAACAGTGAACAAGGAAGGGCACCTAGGAACAACCCCCAGAGGAATTGCAGTGCCACAGGCAGACACCAAGTGGAGGAGGAAATGATGCACTCTTGAGGACAATGGCAAAACTCTCTAACTGCAAAACCACACACACACACAAGCCCAGAGATGATGCCTCCCCAGAGAAGGCTTGAGGGTTCCCCAGGATGTCCAACATGTCTACCAGTAAAGGTCTTTCCCTTCATGAGGCCAATCTGTAAGGAACTGGACAGCCTCTTTTTTCTTTTCTTTTTTTTAAAAGATTTATTTTATTTGAAAGAGTGACACAGAAAGAGGAGACACAGAGAAAGAGAGAGAGAGGTCTTCCATCCACTGATTCACTCCCTGATTGGCTGCACTGGCTGGAGCTGCGCTGATCCGATGCCAGGAACTTCTTCCAGGTCTCCCACACACATGAGAGACCATCTTCTGTTTTTCCAAGCCATAGCAGAGAGCTGGATCAGAAGTGAAGCAGCCAGGACTTGAACCGGCACCCATATGGGATGCCAGCACTGCAGGCGGCTGCTTTACCCATTACACCACAGAGCCAACCCCTCCTGATTTTTCTAAGACTCCAGTCTCAGCAGAGAACACAAGCAATGCATAGAAACAAATAAGGCATGAAGGAACAAATTTCATCTGCAGAAATAAACCACCTACCCTTCTTTAAATAAATGGAGATATTTGATTATCCCACAGCAAGTTCAAAATAACCATCTTAAATATTGTCAGTATGTTAAGAGATAACACAGACAAATCATGAAAACTATGTATGAACAAAATGATAATAAAGAGACATAAACTATAAAAGAAACAAATACTGGAGATAAAGAATAACTAAATGGGAGTAAAGAAATACAGTGTTCAACAGCAGACTGTATCAAGGAGAAGAAAGGCTCTGGCAATTTTTTACCATCCAAATTATTGTTACTGACAGTTATACCTTTAAACTTTTTATATCCGAATAGATTTAAATGTACAAAACAAATTATGAGGTAGTAATATAGGGCATGCCCATATGCCCCTCATGCCTTTTCCTTCACTAACATCTCATATTAGTTGCTTTGTCCCAATTAATGAATCATACCCAGCTTCCCCTGTTTTTAACTCCAAAAAGTGTTTAGTTTACACTCACTGCTAGACTCAGCTAATCAAAACTTTTTCAGACTGAGTTGTTTTTTTTTTCCAACTATTATCAAAAGAATGGAGGAAAAAAGAATGAAGAGAAGTAAAGAGGCAGAGAGATTTAAGGGATACTATGGGCAGACCAAGTATACGTTCTGGGAGTTCCACAATAAGAAGATGGAGAGCATGTGGCAGAGAACCAACATGATGAAATAATGACTAAAATGTAAAACTTCCCAAATTTGAAGAAGGAAGTAGACAAACATTCAAGAAGCTCAATGAACTCCAATTATAATAAATCCAAAAGACTTAACACCAAAACAAATTATAATCGAACTGTGCAAAGTCACACAAAGAAAGAAAATCCTGAAACAGTGAGAGAAAAGTAGCTCATCACCTACAATGAAGCTCCTAAAGAATTGTTGTCAGTTTTCATCATACACTTAGGATCCTTAGAAATTCTCTTCTCGGTCTTCATACACTTGAAGAAATCAGAATCTCTGGTGGAGAGGCCCAGGCCTGAGTATTGCTAAAGCTCCCTGGTGTTCCCTAAAAATGAGCAGCACTACATATTCTCACAGATAATGAAGGGTGACACACATATGTGTAAGATACATATGAATTTTGGAAAATATGGAAACTTTAAAAACACAAAAGGAGGGGCTGGCAATGTGGCATAGCAGGTAAAGCCGCCGCCTGGAGTGCCAGCATCCCATGTGGTGCCAGTTCTAGTCCCAGCTGCTCCACTTCCAATCCAGCTCTCTGCTATGGCCTTGGAAAGCAGTGGAGGATGGCACAGGTGCTTGGGCCCCTGCACCCATGTGGGAGACCTGGATGAAGCTCCTGGTTCCTGGCTTTGGATTGAAACAGCTCTGGCCATTGTGGCCAACTGGGGAGTGAACCAGTGGATGAAAGACACATCTCTCTCTCTCTCTCTCTCTCTATCTATCTCTCTTTCTCTCTTTCTCTCTTTCTCTCTTCCTCTCTCTTTCCTGCCTCTCCTCTCTTTGTGTAACTCTGACTTCCAAGTAAATAAATCTTAAAAAAAAAAAAATGAAGCCAGCGCCATGGCTCACTTGGTTAATCCTCTGCCTGCAGCACTGGCATCCCATATGGGCGTCGGTTCTAGTCTCGATTGCTCCTCTTCCAATCCAGCTCTCTGCTGTGGCCTGGGAAAGCAGTGGAAGATGGCCCAAGTGCTTGAGCTCTGCACCCTTATGGGAGACCGGGAGGAAGCTCCTGGTACCTGGCTTCAGATAGGTACATCTCCAGCCATAGAGGCCATTTGGGAAGTCAACCAATGGAAGGAAGACCTTTCTCTCTCTCTCCTCTCTCCCTCTCTCCCTCTATCCCTCTCTCCCTCTCTCCCTCTCTAAGTTGCCTGTCAAATAAATAAATTAAAAAAAAGAGTTGTTCATCTGTCTAGGATGTCTGCATTAGCAACAGGAACCTATAGTATCATAGGATTCAGACATCCTGTGGTTAACATGAACAAAAATTCTATAATGCTCTCCACCAAAAACACCAAAAGAGGCCACTTTAAGGCACATGTATGGAGAGAAAAGAGCCTCAAATGCCATGGAATGAGGGAGGTGAGATGTGTAGTTCTAGGACTCAGTTTTGCTGCTTTTCCAACCAGTACTCCAAATGCATGGCACTGAGACTGTGTTGCTGAGGAGCCTCCAGATGGCCCTCTTGATGTCCCTGTTCCTCAGGCTGTAGATAAAGGGATTGAGCATGGGGGTGACCAGAGTGTACCCCACTGAAGCCCAGGCATCCTGCCCCAGAGAAAGTGAGAAAGTTGAACTGAGATAGACCCCAAGGCCTGTTCCATAAAATAAGCAAATGACTGACACGTGAGAGCCACAAGTAGAGAAGGCTTTGTACTTCCCACCTGGTGATGGGACCCTCAGAATGGAGGAAACAATTTTATAATAAGAGAAGAAGAGTGCTGACATAGGGAGAAAAGCATATACGACACCAACAAAACATACGAATATGTCATGAATGATCGTGTCAAGGCAGGTGAGGTTGAGAAGCTGAGAAGGGTCACAGAAGAAACTGGAAATTTCAACATCCTTGAAGCAGGTAACTTGCAAGACCATCAAACTGTGCAGCAGGGAATCCAAAAGGCTGGCCACAACTGACACTGAAACTAAGAAGCCACAGCGTTGGGGGTTCATGATGACCTGGTAATGAAGAGGGTGGCAGATGGCAACAAACCTGTCATAGGCCATCACTGTCAGAATCAAATCATCCATGCATTCAAAGATGATGGAAAAAGACATCTGTGTCAGGCAGCCCACATAGGAGATGACTGTGCTGTGAGTGTGGACATCCACAATCACCTTGGGAACCGTGGTGGAGGTGAGACCCACATCAGCCAAGGACAGGTTGACGAGGAAGAAGTACATGGGGGTGTGGAGGTGGGAGTCTGAGCTGACAGCCAGGATGATGAGCAGATTCCCGAGCACCGTGACCAAGTACATGGACAGGAACAGCCCAAACAGGAGAGACTGCAGGGTTGGATCCTCCGAGAATCCCAAGAGATGGAATTCTGAGACACGTGTAAGATTTTGTGTTTCAATATAACCTGCATTCCTTCTGGAAAAGAAAATAGTGTTTGTAAAAGGAAACTGATGAACAGGCACTCAGCACTCTGTATATGTTTTCAACTCAGCTAGTCATGTAGATAGTTCAAGAGTAACTCTAAGGTTTATACAATAAACAGAATTAAAAGAAAATGTTAACCTGGTGCTATACAGTTTTGAAATTCATAATTTTTATGATGTGTTTTGCCTTCTTATTTACACTGGTAAGCATACAATTTCTTCCAGTCTTCTCAAGCGTAACACACTCAGGCTTCTTAGGGTGCTTACATGATTGGTTTTCATGTTATTCAGCTCCTTCCATGCATATCTACTTTAGAGACACTCAAATGAAAAATTTTAGAAGACCATAAACATTAGAAGGACTAAGTCCATGATCACAGTCAATTGTAACTTATTCTTTGAATTCATTTTTAGTTTTTTAGTTTTTAGCGGATTTAATTTAGTTCATAGATACAATATAATGATATTCACTCTTCATTCCCTCCTCGCTCACTTTCTTTCCTTTTTGAGATAATATATTTTTAATCTAAAATATGTTATTCTATACTTTTAATGATCAGTGATTACTTTAACATTTACTATCTATGGGTGAAATGGTCGTCTTTCCATTCAATTACTATTTATATCACTTGCCTATATTTCTGTTAAACTAGGGTCTTTGTGCTTTTCTACTTGCTAAATTTTCATTTGGTGAAGCACCGTTTGCTTTTAAAAAGGAAGAATAAAAAGTGTCCCTATTTGGAAAAACATTCTTGCTAACAGTGTGCTGTGTACCTTATTTTCTTGTAACCAACAGTATAGTTTACTTGACTTGAAATAATTATAATACCCTTAATAGCTAGAACTGCATTATCTAATCACCAAATTAAAGTTGGGTATTCACAATCAGGAAATATTGCTGGGTATCAGTTGCCCTCTAGGGTTTTTATCATTCTTAGCTCTTCTGATTGCCCTCCTTTGTAGATGGAAGTAGTCATTCAAGTATTGTGTGTCTGCTTATTTTGAGAGGCAGAGACACAGACAGATAGAGATTTGAGAATTTCCCTCCACTGGTTCACTGCCCCAAATGACTACCATGGCTGTGATTTCTCCCATGCAGAATCTTTGTGAGATGGAATTCAATCCAGGCCTTCCACATGTGTGGCAGTAGCCCAAATATTTGATCATCACCACTACTTCCTATCATCTGCAGTAGCAGGAAGCTGGATTGAGGAGCCAGATCTGGGAATCCAACCCAGGCATGCCAGTGTGGGAGGTGGGCATCTTAACCACAATGCTATATGCCCACTCCCATTTGTCCTTTAGCATCATTTACTATATAACTCCTTTCATTTGTTTTGTGGACTTCAAATATTGATAAAAGTAGTTTATCTCTGTACACATAACCACATGACATCAGTGACTTCCAATGTAACACTACTACACTAGGCACCTGACAGTGATGTAAAATAAGGAACTTTAAGGGCCATCGGCATTTTTCAAATATTTTAATATGCACCCCTTATAACCTCAGTTTTTTTTTTCTTAAAAAAATGCTATATAGATGATGTTTGCTTTAAACTTGTTTAAAGCTTTTATTCTGTTTCTTTTCATGGCCTGGTCATTCTGCTTTTGGTTTTTCTGATCAAAAACCTTCTTGCCTGTAGTTGAAGTAAGGGAGCTCAGGGAAGACCCAGCACCAGCTTTGAGTTCCCATCATCCTATGTAGAATTCAAAGATTTTCATGACGCCATTTCCTGATGGTTGGATTACAGTTCTCTAACTTCAGCTGCCTAAAGGCAATGCTAATGCATTCCTTGGTCTTGGAACCCAAGACCCAAACCGCATGCCTCTTTCTCAGATTAAGTGAGTGATTTCAAGAGTTGGGGACAAAGTGGATGGCTGAGGTGAAATCTTGAAATGAAAGGGAGAGAGAGAGAAATGAGAATGAAGCCCCAGAATGACCCTGTGCTTGTTCTTTCTCTTATCTGTGCATTTGAACTCAGCCATACTTTACCTACTGCTGCTCACTCTGCTCTACCAAGAAACCCCATGGTAAGATCACAATGAACTGGGGTCCCTTCCTGGAGTGACAGGAAAGAGAAAGAGATGGCTGCTATATCAGTGGGGAATATTGGACATGCTCCCCGTGTCTACAAACTACCCACGTGTCTCAAACATGACTTCACCCTTTTCTACCCCACAGCTTTCGACAAGTTACACAAAAACTCAGGGCTCCTCACCTCTTCTGTAAGATAACAATAAATGTGGGCAACAGAACATGGTTTTATGTTGATGCAATGAAACAAGCTACTTAGAACCTAGGGTTCAGAGCCTGGCACTTAGGAAGCCCTCAATAAACTGTGTGATGTTAGGGTCACGGCATCCTCCCCCTCCTCCTCACCATCACCTTCATGACATTGCTGAGTGCTCAGGGGACAGTTTTAGGTATGCACAGGCTGCTGTCATGAAGAGACATCCAGTGGTTCTGAGAATCACTGTGGGAGGGAAAAATTCAAAATGAGAAATCTCAGACCCTGATGAGAACCAAGAACATAAACTAGCACAGGCCTCTGAGCTGAAACTGTCTATGGTTTCCCTCCCAGCTGTCTACCCCAGCTGTCCTGCTTGTCCTGATAATTAGGAAACAGTGTTCCTGACAGCCCCATCAACTTCCACTGTCTCCCTCGGCACTTACTGGGCTGTGCTGAGTCTCAGCAGAGGCATGATCAATGGTGCTGGTTCCATTGGTGCTCTTCTGCCTGGAGTTCAAGGGAGCCTCAGGCTTTGGACTCAGGACAGGGAAGGAGACAGACTCAGTCTGGGGCTTCGTGATGCAGACACTCACATGGGGAGGAGTGGCCATTATATTTCCACTGCAATGTCATTGTCTGTAGGCTGTGGCTCATTGCTTGCGCTGAGAGGACCTTGGGGGCTCAATGCACAGAGCTCCTAATTAGCCTGTAGGCCCATGTAGCCCAGACTCTGATGACTTGCTGATGCTAATGAGAGACATAGGAGAAAAGTAAGTGCACCTGGAATGTTCTCCAAGGACCGCTCACCTCAAATTCTTGCTGCTGAATTCCAAGATGCAGGATCTTTACATAAAATTCAGACTTCTGTCCTCCATGTTCACAAATCCCAATGTGATTCTTTGAGTCCATTGCAGCAATATGAAAAGCATGGAGAATTCCATTTTCTATGCCAAGAATCTGAGACTATCTGCATTTTTTCAGTTAACATTAGTCTCTAAAGACAATTCCTATATTCATTTCCTAAACCCTTGCTTTTGCTGGCATTGAATGTGTTGAAGATTTGTGGGCATTTTAATCATTTAAATGGCTTTCTCTCAATTGTGTCTATGGTTGAATATATATTACCAAGTAATTGATAATTACACATTTATTTGATATTTTATGCATGGAGCTGCAGTATGAAAGGCTGGATATACTTCAAGAATTTGTAGAAATGCAGGATTAAAACAAATTTCAAAATTTTTCCCTCACACTTTTGAAGGGCCCCATATGTATAAAAATATCTTCATTTAACCTTGTGATACAGTAAATAGACATGTAAACATTCAGACTAAGAAACATTGTAGGGGCCAGAGCTGTAACATAGCGGGTCAAGTCACAGCCTGCAGCACCAACATCCCATTTGGGCACCTGTTCAAGTCCTGGCTGCTCCACTTGTGATCTGGCTCCCTGCTAATGCACCTGGAAAAGCAGTAGACTATGGCCTAAGTGGCTGAGCCCTGTCACATGTGGGAGACCCAGAGGAAGCTGCTGGCTTCAAGCTCAGGCTGGCCCAGCACTGGCCATTTTGGCCATTCAGGGAATGAACAAGCATATGGAAAATATTCTCTCTCCCTCTCCCTCTGCTGCCCTCCCTCCCTCCCTCCCTCCCTCCCTCTTCATCTCTTCCTCTCTTCCTGTCTTCCTCTCTTCCTCTCTTCCTCTCACTCTCTCTCTCTATCACTTCTTCTCTTTCTTTAACTCTGTCTTTTCAAATAAATAATCTTTTTTTTTTAAAAAAAAAAAGAAACACTGGAAAAGGAATGCAGAATTCTTACTGATAGTTCCTGAATGCTACCCATGAACCAAGATTTAGAATTCAGGTGTTTGTACTGATACTTTTCTTTTGGGTGACTAGTCAGTCTAATTATGTCAATTGCCCTGCCCATGAGGAAAACATACTTCCTACAGTACCTCTTGCATCCACTGTGTCCCACAGATCTCACCTTCTGGGCACCCCTGCTGTAGGACATGTCTGGGGAATGAGGGTCCATTGACTTGTCTTCCCAGTGAGCGATGAGGGCTGAGCTATCTCCTCAGGACAGTTAGGAAGACAGCCAGGTCTGGGCATCCTAATACAGATGACTCTGGAAAGAGAAGACACAGGCACAGTATTTCCTAGTCTGGAACCAGTATTCTTATTTAAAAAGTCATTCTTTGTATTTGAATGACAAACAAGAACAGAAAGACAAAGGGAGAAAACTTCTATTGACTGATTCACTCCCCAGCCCACAAAACCCAGTGCTGAGTCAGGCAAAGCCAGGAACTGATGATTCATCCTGGGTCTGCCATGTAGGTGGCAGAGCCAGAAATACTTCACCCATCATCTGATGCATCCCAGGGTGAACAGTAACAAGAAGTAAAAACTGGAAGCAGAGCAAGGACTCAAACCCAGGCACTCAAAACTAAGATGCCTGCATCCCCAGTGGCATCTTAACTGCCCTGCCAAATGCTTGCCCCATGCACTAACATTAAGATTGCACAGGATATTTTCTCAGAATTTCTTGAGCACTTAAGCACTGAACAGTGGGTCTCTGACGTTGGTGTGTAAGCACCACAAGGCTGTGCATCTATCTATCTTCTCCCCAGCACATTACACAACCCATAAAATGATCTGCTCTCAGCCACATCTTCCTGCAGAACTGTCAGTTGGGTGGGTGTATCTCTGCATCTTGTAGTTACACAGTTTACCATACTGCTCCATGGTGTATCATCAGTCATGTAGTCCAAAGAAATAACCATGATTTCTCTTCTTCCAGCAGAATCTCACTATGATGTCACAAACAGATGTAAGCATTCAACAAATGCTGCCAGTACAGAGGCCTCTGATGTTTGCTCTCCAAGTAAATGATCATTGCACACCAGAATGTATTTTCCTTAGGTATTTTAATGTGTGTTATTATGTCATTAAGGCTTTAATGCAGTATACTTTGGAGATTAGTGACATCAAGAAGGTGATGATATAGGAAACTCTAGCTCTTCATTTCCCTCATTGGGATTGGATTTACCAACATTTTGGACCAAATTGCCTTTGTTAGAACTCCACAAACAGTTAAGAGATTGTGTCAGCCTAGATGAGTGCAAAGCCAGGGAGAAGTGTATCAAAATATGTTTGTTCAGCACTCTGGCCTCAGAATCAGCCCTTAAAGCATTCAGAACTGGCTGAAAAGCCCATGAGAGTATTTCAGGCATGGAAAGCCAAGACACTCTGGCAAAAAGAAAATGACCTAAGTGAAAGATCTCTGTGAGTGAGATCCCAGTGGAAAGAACAGGTCATCAAAGGAGGTACCTTTCTCTGAAGGAAGGAGAGAACTTCCACTTTGACTATGACCTTGTCTAAATACAATGAGAGTCGGTGAACTCGGAAGGCCTCCATAGCCTTGGCAACTCATGACTGGAGCCTAGGGTGATTATTGACACCATACACAAGAGTGTCAATTTGTTAAGTCAACAACAGGAGTCACTGTGCACTTACTCCTCATGTAGGATACTTAATGTGCTGTACATTGTGAGTTAATGCTATAACTAGTACTCAAGCAGTATTTCACACTTTGTGTTTCTGTGTAAAATGTTGAAAGCTTTACACTTTGTGTTTCTGTGCAAACTGTTGAAAGCTTTACTTAATATATGCTACATTGATCTTCTGTATATAAAGAGAATTGAAAATGAATCTTGATGTGAATAGAAGGGGAGAGTAAGGGGAGAGGGGAGGGTTGTGGGTGGGAGGGAAGTTATGGGGGGGAAGCCATTGTAATCCATAAGCTGTACTTTGGAAAATTATATTCATTAAATAAAAGTTGAAAAAAAACACGTTTGTTGCATTTTCCCACTACAGAGCTCCCTGTCCCAGAAACAGCATAGCAGAATGAGAAGAATCCCAACTCCTAGGAGGGAGTTCCAATCTCTCATGGAAGGGAAAGAGAAGGTGGAGCGTTCATCCAAAGTTCTGTCTTCTCAGAGCTGCCTGAGGAACTGGTTCATACCTTGCCTGCCTTGGAGCTCCCATGGTAATGGCATTAAATAGTACTAACTGCCCTCAGAGGTAGTGCAGTACCACAAACAGACACTAGGGGGAGGTTGAGGCGATGAGCTCTGGAGAACAAAGGCTAACCCCTTTAATTGCACAAATCTCACACAGAAGCCCAGGGAAATTTTGGGTGTCACCCACAATCTTTAGACATTTGTTGTGAAGGTCTTTCCCTGTTGGAAGCTCATACATAAGGACTGGGAGATGTTTTTTCCCCAATGCTCAAATATCCATGGAGAGTACGAGAATGCATGGAAACAGGGAAATCTCACCTAATCAAATTAACAAACTGCATCTCCAGAGATAAAGTACTACATCTTCCTAAAGGAATGAAGATATTTCATCATCCCACAGCAAACTCACAATAACCACTTAAAGATTATCAGTATGCTAACAGATAACACAGATGAAACATAAAAAAAAGCAATCAGGAAAATGATGAACTAGCAAAATGGTAATAAAAATACAGAGACATAAACTCTAAAAGGAAAAATGAGCAGAAATATAGAAGATGAAGAACACCATACCTTTATTGGGATATTCAGTGGAGTGTTCAGCAGGTATCAAGAAGAATCAGTGGCTTTTTTAACTTTTCAAATAAGTTTTATTGACAGTTGTATATTTTTAACATTTTATTTCAGAATAGGTTTAAATTTATACAACATAGATTGTGAGGTAGTCATACGAAGAATTCCCCTACACCCCTCAGCTCATCATTTCCTGTATTAATAGTTCATTAATGTCTTAGTCACAATTATGGATCCACACACAGCTTCTCTTAGTTTTTCTCCAAAAGCCTTTTATCGCTTCATTCCTCCCACTCTCTGGTTATGTATGAAAAATATATAAAAAATCTATAATATGCCTCATTAAAAGGACCAAAAGAAACAATAACCAGACACAAAATCTGCAGAGCACCAGCCTCACACATCATGTATGGAGAAAAGTGAGATTTATAGGTCGAGAGCTTCATTTTGCTGCAGCTCCCACCAAGAGTCCAGACGCATGGAGCAGGGACTGAGATGAGCCTGTTTTCCTGAGGAGCCTCCACAGGGCCCTCTTGATGTCCCTGTTCCTCAGGCTGTAGATAAAGGGGTTGAGCATGGGAGTGACCACAGTGTACACCACTGAGGCCAAGGCACCCTTTCCAGGAGACACTGAGAAAGCTGAGCTGAAATACACCCCAATGGCTGTTCCATAAAATAAGCAAACGACCGACAGGTGAGAGCCACAGGTGGAGAAGGCTCTGTACCTCCCACCTGGTGATGGGACTCTCAGAATGGAAGAAATGATTTTATAGTAAGAGAAGAGGATCCCTGAGATAGGGAAAAAACCATATATGATGCCAACAAGATACCTGACTATGTCATTGGTGAAGGAGTCAGAGCAGGCAAGACTGAGAAGTTGAGAAGGGTCACAGAAGAAATTAGAAATTTCTACTTGCTTGAAGCAGGTAACTTTTAATACCATCAGATTATTCAACAGAGAATCCAAAAGGCTAGCCACAAAGGACGCCAAAACTAAGAAGCTACAGCGGCCAAGATTCATGATGGCCTGGTAATGCAAGGGGTGACAGATGGCGACAAACCGGTCATAGGCCATCACGGTCAGAAGCAAATCATCCATGCATGCAAAAATGAGAAAGAGAGACAACTGTGTCAGGCAGCCCACATAGGAGATGACTGTGCTGTGAGTGTGGACATCCACAATCATCTTGGGAACCGTGGTGGAGGTGAAACCCACATCAGCCAAGGACAGGTTGACGAGGAAGAAGTACATGGGGGTGTGGAGGTGGGAGTCTGAGCTGACGGCCAGGATGAGGAGCAGGTTCCCGAGCACCGTGACCAGGTACATGGACAGGAACAGCCCAAAGAGGAAGGACTGCAGTTGTAGATCTTCTGAGAAGCCCATGAGATGGAATTCTGTGACACGTGTGATATTTTGTGTTTCTATATATCCTGGAATCCTATTGGAAAAGAAAACAGTGTTGATAAAAGGAAGCACACAAGCAGGCAATCAGCACATTTTATTATTTTCAGTTCAACCAGTTATGTGTATAGCACATGGGTAACTCTAAGATTCTTAGAATAATTGAATTAAAGAGACAAATTTTGGTGAAATACAATTTTTTAAAGATTTATTTGTTTATTTGAAAGGCAAAGTTATAGAGAGGCAGAGACAGAGAGAAAAAAGAGAGGTCTTCCATCCACCAGTTGTTCCCCAGATGGCTACGACAGCCAGAGCTACACGAATCCGAAGCCAGGAGCTTGGAGCTTTTTCCAGGTCTCCCATGCAAGTGCAGGGTCCCAAGCACTTGGACCATCTTCTACTGCTTTACCAGGCCATAGCAGAGAGTTGTATCAGAAGTGGAACAGCCGGAACTTGAACTGGTGCCCATATGGGATGGCAACACTGCAGGCAGTGGCTTTTACCCGGTACACTGCAGTGCCAGCCCCCATAATAATTTTTTGACAGTGATGAACTCAATCTTCTTACAGCTTTTTCATGATCTGTTTTTTAAATTTTTATTTGAAAGTCAGAGATTGTGAGCCCAGGGAGGCTCTATTCAATATGAAGCAGAGATTTTTTTTTTTTATGCCTCCTCTGTGCCAAGCAAATAATAGGGTCTGAAGAACCAAAAAAGGTGGGGGGGGATGTCATTATTCCCAAAATACACTGCTTATATGTTTACGAGGGTATATTTGTACTCTAAAAGGTTTTGTAGGAATGGAATTAAAACTATCAATTAATTTTAATAGAATTGAACTTTGGGGTATAAAAGTCTTGTCGTAATATGGGGAAATGTATATTATGAAAAACTTGTCATGATTTATTTTAGGCATGGAAAGCCAAGACACTCTGGGGAAAAAAAAAAAAAAAAAAAAAGAAGACCTAAATGAAAGATCTCTGTGAGTGAGATCCCAGTGCAAGAACGGGGCAATCAAAGAAGGAGGTACCTTTCCTGAAGGGAGGAGAGAACTTCCACTTTGACTATCAGCCAGTGAGAAAAAGATTGAATCAGCAAACTCAAAAGGCTTCCATAGCCTTGGCAACTCATGACTAGAGCCTAGGGAGATTACTGACGCCGTAAACAAGAGTGTCAAATTGTTAAGTCAACAACAGGAGTCAATGTGTACTTACTCCTCATGTGGGATCCATCCTTAATGTGTTGTCCAATGTGAAGTAACGCTATAACTAGTACTGAAACAGTATTTTACACTTTGTGTTTCTGTGTGGATGCAAACTGTGAAATCTTTGCTTAATATATACTAAATCGATCTTCTGTATATAAAAGTAATTGAAAATGAATCTTGATGTGAATGGAATGGAGAGGGAGATGGGAGGGGTGCGAGTGTGAGGGAAATTATGGGGGGGGCATTGTAATCCATAAACTGTAATTTGAAAATTTATATTTACTAAATAAAAATAAAATAAAATAATAAAAATAAAAAAATTGGGGACAAAATAAATTCTAATTTTTCATTCCATTTTTCCATGAATGTTTTAAAGTTCTAGTACAAGGATAGCAGTAACAAGTCCTGCTACAGAAATAGGAATGAGCAAGGTCAAGCAGCTTATATTTTAGTGAGTGAAATGAAGATCAACCTTAAAATGGGAATAACAATATCTAAATTTTCTTTTGTCCACTTTTGATTCATCTATTGCATATACATCACATAAGAAGCTTCTATAAATCCATTCATTACTTAAGGTATCAACTCAGGTACAATGCCCGTGTCAAAGATCCTGGGAACATCCTCTATGCACAGGAATAATCAGTGGATTGGTCAGGATTCAAAACTGCATGGTCATTGGATCTGATGCATCTCCATTATCTCCCAACCATCAGAATGTATTAAGCAGAGTTCCCTAAGTTACAACATCAGGTACCTTTGAAGTTGGTTGTCAATCTCTTCACAGACTCTGCATGGGAAATGGGACCTAACCCCTCATCTTAATGTCTCATATTGATAGTAAGTGGCAAGAATAACGAGAACTGGAGGAAGTTGAAAGCTGAAGTGAACTCTCAAGAGAAAGATCTTCCCTGAGTTACCCTGTGCCTGTTCATCTGTGATCTTTGCCTTTGAACTCAGCACCCTTCCCTGGCTGCTGCCCACTATGGTCTACAAAGAAACCCCAAAAGAAGAGCACAGCAAACAGGAAGTCTCTCCCTGGAAGGACAGAAAAGGGAAATGACTTCTTGGGTCGTCACAGGGGAATACTGGCCACGTTCCTTGTGTCTGAAATCAGACCACCTGATTCAGAATTGCCCGCTGCTGCTGCTACCTGACAACCGGATGTGAATTCTATGAGAGTGTGTAGCCCCTCTCCTCCTCTATAAAATAAAAATGTGGGCTATGTGATGAAATGAAACAAGCTATTCAGGACGTAGAGTTCAGACAATGGCACTTAGGGCCTGTGATGCTTTGGTTACTGATATCCTCATCCTGAAACTCATGTTCACGTTGGGTGTTCAGGGGTAATTTGTACAGACTCATTTGCTGCCATCATGAAGGAGATGCTGGTGGGAAGAACAATCGGTGTGAGAGGAAAGAAAAACACTGTCTGACCCCCTTGAGAACCAAGAGCATAAACCTCACAACTTCCTGAGCTGAAACGTAGCCTGTTGGTTGCTTCCCGTCTGTCTTTCACAGCAATCACTTCATCCTAGTGATGAGGAAACTGGTCCCGACATTCCCAGATCCTTGCACTGTCTCCCTCTGTACATACCAGGCTGGGCTGAGTCTCTGAAGCATGACCAAGGGTGATGGGACCCCTGCTCCTCTTCTTCAGGGAGTGCAATGGGAGACTTGCGTCCTTTACTTGGGACTGGAAAGGGGACAGTCAGGCCGTGCCCTCCTGATGCTGATGCTCCCTGTGGTAGGAATCAGCATGGAGCTACTAGAATTCCCCTGGCAAAGTCAAGGTCTAAAGGTGCTGGCTCATTATTTATACTTGGAAGACCCTGGGGACTCAGTGCACAGAGCTCCTCATTAGCCATGGTCCATGTTATCCCAGTCTCTGAGGCCTTGCTGATATTAATGAAAGAGGAAAAGTTAAGTGTACCTGGAAACTTTTCAGAGTGAAAGCTCGCCTGTGCTCCTTGCTGCTGATAAGTTACATGATCTTTATGTAAAATTCAGACTTCCATTTTGAATTCCACAACTCAGCGTGTGATTGTTATGTCTGTAAATTCATTGTATTAAGGATGATACCTGAGGAGAATTCACTCTTCTTTGCCAAGAATCTGATTCTAGGTCCTCATTAGTCTCTATAGACAAGCTTCCTATGTTCATTTCCTAAGCACTTGCTTGGGTTGGTATTTTGTGTCTTGGCAACTTATAGCTTCTTACTGATTTGAATGAGTATGTCTAAGTGTGTCTCTTATAAAATTACATTGACATAAATTATTGATGCTTCCATGTTTATTTGGTAACACACCTCAGTACTTTAGAAGCAGCAAAAAAAGGGTACTTCAAAAAGTTTTTAGAAAAAAATGTAATTAAGGGGTGGGCACTGTGGAATAGCGGGTAAAACTGCCACCTTCAGTGCCAGCATCCCATATGGCACTGGTTCGAGTCCTGGCTGCTCCACTTCCTATCCAGCTCTCTGCTAATGCCTGGGAAAGCAGTGGAAGATGGCCCAAGTGCCTGGGCCCCTGCACCCACATGGGAGACCCAGAGGAAGCTCCTGGCTCCTGGCTTCGGATCACCACAGCTCCGCCCATTGCAGCCATTTGGAGAGTGACCTCTCTCTGCCTCTGCCTCTGCCTCTGCCTCTTTGTAACTCTGCCTTTCATATAAATAAATAAATCTGGGGGGAAAAAAAGAAAAACACAATTAAAAGAAATGTTCATAATATACATTTTGCATGAAATTTAAAAATTGCATATGTATAACAATGTCTTCTATTGTTCCTGTTGTATGGTAAATAGTTGTGTAAATGCACTGAGTCACTCTGTAAGGAACCAGGGTAAAAGGAAAGCAGTATTTCCACTGGTTCTTGTCACCTGGATTATAAAATTTGGAGCTCATCTGTCCAGCTGTCCAAACTACCCTGCTGGCCCACATATGAGGAAACAATGATCCCAGCAATCCCTCCTGCAGCCTCTGCATCCCACAAAATTCACTGGGCAGGGCTCTCTCGCTGTGGCCCATGACGGGCAAGTGAGAATGCATTTCCATTCCATGCTCAGTGAATAGTGAGGTCTGAGGCTGTCTCCTCAGGACTTTTCAGAACACAGTTGGGCCTTGACCTCCCAAAACAGATGCATCTGGTAATGGATACACATCTATGATTTTTCTTGGACTGGGACCAGCAGTCCTTTTAAAATTTTTCATTCCGTTTTATTTATCTGCAAGGCAGAGAGAGGCAAAGGTAAGATAATGATAAATTATCAGACAATGATAAAACCCATCTTGTAGCCTCCTCCCCAGGTGCCCCCAATAGCTAGGACAGGGCCAGGACTAACCCAATGCATACAAGTTAGTATGGGTCTCCCACATAAGTAGAAGGAACCCAAATACTTGAGCCATCATCTGCTGCCTCCCATGAAGTGCATTTGCAGGAAGTGGATTAAGAAGCAGATCTGGAACACAAATTTATCACCTCAGTACAGGATTCAGGCATCACTTTGCTAAATGCCCACCCCTGGGAGCAGAATTCTGAAAGTCTAAAAGCACAGGCTGATATTTGACACTCATGTGATCTTGAAAACTTTAAGTGCTAACATCTGTATGCACCAAGGTTATGCAATGACCAAGCTGCCTTTCAGCTGAACCCCCATCAAATTGTCATGCTCTCAGATTCTCCTGCAGGACAACTGTCTCTGTGTTTGTACTGATAGAGTTTCCACCCATACTGCTTCATGATGTATCCACAGCCAACTAGTCCATAGAGGTGATCCTGGTTTCTCTTTATCTGCCAATGTCACAACATTTTGTGGCAAAATTCACAAGTGATTCCAGTAGTGTATGATTTTTGTGCATCATGTAGTGTTCATTTTGCTCCAGAATGTATTTTCTTTAGATTTTTTTTATGAGTGTCATCAATTCATTAGTGGTTAAAAAATACAATGTTGGCCATGCTGATATCAGTAAGACAAAGGAATAGGAAGTCAGTCCAAGGTCTTCATTTCACCCACAGAGTCCTGACTTAACAACATCCATGGACCAAATTCTCTGTAAGAACTCCACAAGCCGGTTAAGGCTTTACATCAAGCCCCCAGGAGCACAAAGCCAAAAGGAACTACCTCAGAGTGAATGGCAGCATTCTTTGTGTTTGTCAGCCAAGGCCCTGCCAGGCCCAGAAACACCATCTCAGGATAAGCAGAAAACCCCCAACTCCTAGCATCTGTCTTGGAAGGGAAAGAGAAGATGAGTTATCATCTCAGGGGCTACCTGAGGAAGTGCGTTATACCTTACCTGACTTGGAGTTCTAATGGAAACGGCAGTGGCCTATGGGTACCAGATTAGGAGCAACTGAGAACTATGGAAAACACCTAGTTATCCTCCCAGAGGAACTTCAGTACCAGAAGCAAGACACCAGGCAGAGATGATGATGTGCTCTTGACAAAAACTATAAACTCACACACAGCCCAGAGAAGATGCCTCCCAGCAAAGGTTTGAGAGTCCCCAACAATCTCCGTGAAGGTCTTTCCCCATATGAATCCAGTCCAGAAAACTTGGGGAAGGTGTTTTCCCCAGTGATCACATCTAACCAGAGAACAAAAGGAATGCATAGAAACTGGGAAATATGACCCAAAGGAACAAATGCTTCACCAGAAATAAGTTACTAAACCCTCTTTAAAGATATGGAGAAGGGGAGGCATCGTGGCGCACTAGGTTAAACCTCTGCCTGTGGCACTGGCATCCCATAAGGGTGCCGGTTCTAGTCCCGGTTGCCCCTCTTCTGATCCAGCTCTCGGCTGTGGCCTTGGATAGCAGTACAAGATGGCCCAAGTGCTTGGGCCCCTGCACCCACATGGGAGACCAGGAAATAAGCACCTGGCTTCCTGGCTTCAGATCGGTGCAGCTCCAGCCGTTGCAGCCATGTGGGGAATGAACCAACAGAAGGAAGACCAGTCTCTTTCTCTCTCACTGTCTGTAACTATACTTGTCAAATAAATAAAATCTTTTTAAAAAATAAAGATTGGAGATATTTGATTTTTATTTTTTTTAATCTTTTATTTAATGAATATAAATTTCCAAAGTACGACTCATGTGTTACAATGGCTTCCCCCCCATACCGTCCCTCCCACCCACAACCCTCCCCTTTCCCACTCCCTCTCCCCTTCCATTCACATCAAGATTCATTTTCGATTATCTTAATATACAGAAGATCAGCTTAGTATACCTTA